TCCTTCGATTGATTCACCTGATATTTTCACCAACATTCCACCCAACTTACCTCCACCATCAAATGAACCTTCCTCTCCTACCTCTCTCCCCCAGCCAGAATCTCCCACTAACCTCTCTTCTTCCTCGAATGACACTAACAACTCCCCTTGCCCCTCCCCTCTTGTGCCAACCAGAAAATCCAATCAAAATAGTAAACCTCCAGCTTATCTATCCGATTATCACTGCAATTTGCTATCCCCCATGCTGCCAGCATCTGACTCAGGTTCCTCTAACTACCCTCTCTCTTCTGTATTATCTTATAGCCAATGTAGTCCTGATCACAAATTATTTTGTCTATCCATAAGTTCTCTCACAGAACCAAAAACCTATAAACAAGCCTGCAAATTTGATTGTTGGAACAATGCTATGAAATCTGAGTTAGATGCTCTTGAATCTACAAATACTTGGTCTGTTGTTGATTTGCCTGCAGGCAAACAATCGATTGGTTGCAAATGGGTCTACAAAATCAAGCATCATGCTGATGGATCCATCGAACGATACAAGGCACGTTTAGTAGCGAAAGGATATACTCAACTGGAGGGGGTGGATTATTTCGACACTTTCTCACCTGTTGCGAAGCTTACTTCTACAACTTGACTTCAACAATGCCTTCCTTCATGGTGATCTACAAGAGGAAGTGTATATGGATCTGCCTCCTAGATTCATGCTTCCTGCTTCTTCGACCAACAAAGTCTGCAATTCTTCGACCAACAAAGTTTGCACTTCGAGCAACAAAGTCTGCACTTCTTCGACCAACAAAGTTTGCATTCCTTCGACCAATAAACTTTTCACTCCTTCGACCAACAAAGCTTGCACTCCTTCGACCAACGAAGTTTGCACTTCTTCGACCAACGAAGTTTGCACTCCTTCGACCAACGAAGTTTACACCTCTTCGACCAACAAAGTTTGCAAATTGCATAAGTCACTATATGGCCTGAAGCAGGCTAGCAGACAGTGGTTTTCGAAATTGTCCACTGCCCTTATCTCTCTTGGCTACTCATATTCTTCTGCTGATCATTCTTTTTTCACAAAATCACATGACTCTTCTTTTACTGTTTTATTAGTCTATGTTGATGATATTGTCTTAGCCGGTAATGATTTGCAGGAAATCAAATATGTCAAATGCTTCCTTGATTCCACTTTCAAAATCAAGGACCTTGGTAGGCTAAAATATTTTCTTGGTCTAGAAGTTGCCAAATCCACTCACGGCATTTTTCTCAATCAGAGAAAGTACGCTTTGGAATTGCTCGAAGACAGTGGCTTATTGGCTACTAAACCTTGCTCTACTCCCTTCGACTCCTCCTTGAAGCTTCATGATGATAACTCACCACCTTTCGAAGACGTCACAGCTTATCGAAGGCTTGTTGGAAAACTTCTATATCTGACTACCACCAGACATGACCTTGCATTCATCGTTCAACAGCTCAGCCAATTCATCTCACATCCTATGCAAGTTCATCATTCTGCAGCAATTCGAGTACTCAAGTATCTCAAAGGTGCTCCTGCCAAGGGTTTGTTCTATTCATCTTCCTCTCCACTCAAACTCTCTGGCTTCGCAGACTCAGATTGGACAAGTTGCCCTGCTACCCGCAGATCCGTAACTGGATATTATGTGTTCCTTGGCAATTCCCTCATATCCTGGAAATCTAAAAAGCAGTCTACAGTATCCAAATCCAGTTCAGAAGCAGAATACAGGGCCTTGGCAAGCTTGACTTGTGAATTGCAATGGCTGCAGTATTTGTTCAAGGATCTCCACATCTCCTTCGATCAACCTAGCTCAGTCTATTGTGACAACAAAAGTGCTATCTACCTTGCTCACAACCCCACCTTTCATGAACGGACAAAACATATCGAAATTGACTGCCACGTCATTCGTGAGAAAATCCAAACTGGTCTCATCCATCTTTTACCAGTTTCTTCTGCTGCTCAACTGACAGATGTTCTCACCAAGCCTTTGGCAGCTCCCTCTTCCAAACTGGTCTATTAGACATCCATAGTCCAGCTTGTGGGGGCTATTACATGATGAAAATAATACTGTTTAGTTTATTACTAAACAGTTAGTTTTAGTTTGTTATAGTTTGTTACAATTCTGTTTAGTTTGTTACTAAACAGTTTGTTACTTTAACAGTATATATAATGTTGTTTTGTACATTCCAAATCATAATGAAAACTATGAGTTTATTCCAAAATTAACAGATAATACATCTCTGAATTCACCCCAGAAAAAATACAATTTCGTAAGGGGTTGTTTCAGAAGTGTATTTCCGAAATATGTCAAAAAAATGAAATTTCGTCACTTCAGTAATACATCTCCGAAATCACACTCGAAAAAATATAATTTCATAAGGGGTAGCTTCGGAAGTGTTACGAAACATGTAAAAAAAATGAAATTTCGTAACTTCAAAAATACATCTTTGAAATCATCCTAAAAAAATAAACTCTGATGCGTTCGGAGATACATCTCCGAATTCTCAGAACAAAAATAGAATTTTGCCAAAAATGACTAAGAAAATATAAAGGTGGAGAAAGAAATTTGGTAAGCATAAACTAGATGCATTAAAACCTTTCCAACATGCATTAAGAATAATATAGTAAGTTATAAAAGTAGTAGTGGTGCAAGATGTTCCTAAGATGTTACCTCCTTAAAAGCGCAGTGACTGGCTTCATTACTCCTGGGAGATCATATAAACCCCTCTAGCATACCATACAACTTTGCCATTTTATCTCCAACACTGCTAATTCTCTCCACCCTCTTTGGCCGCGCATCATCTCACCTATTCTGACTCAATATGAAGGAAAAGTAATGAAAAGTAATGAAAAACAATAAAGTCTCACCCTTGAAGAAACTAAACCACCCTTAAACTCAATAAAATATTAATCTATCAGTAAAACGAAACAACAAAGTCATAATCAAAACTAATAAATCAGAAATCGAAACAACAAAGTCAATATTCAAAACCCTAAGTAAACCCTAACAACAAAATTGAAAAACTGAATCAAAAAAGTTACCTTGCAAACAAAAGTAAAACAATGGTAGAACGACAATCACAGTCTTAGAATAAAAAAAAACTAAGTCAAAATTTAAAATCCTAAACAAACCCAAACAAAACAAAATTGAAAAACAAAATTATAATTATCTATATATTAATATATATTACAGAACCTAATATTTTTATTTCTCAATGTATGTATAGAAAACCAAAAGTGAAAAATTTAATTCAAAAAACTATCAAATATATAGTCGATGTTGAACATTTCAATTGATTGAACGTTGAGAGTATAAATTTATTAACGAATTGAATTGAATGGAATAGAAATTAATCATGAAAGTAAATTTTTTGTAAGCAAAACTTTGAAGTCACTTGATAGAGTTTGAAAATTTGTATATTTTTGTTGGAAATGAGAAAGGGGAAGGATCTAACCCGAATTTGATCAAAACCCCGTTCAAAAATGTACTTATGTAAATTATACAAAAATACATATAAAAAAATAAAAATTTATCTCACTTATAAATAAACGAATGTGAATTAAAATACATTTGAAAGTACATTTTCAATTTTCAAAAATATTTTTAATATTTTTATAAGAATGCGTGAGCAATTTTAAACTGAGAGAAATAATCCCCTTCAATCTATTAGACACTTCCAATAAAGGAAGAAAAAAAGTTAAATGTTTAGTAATTATCATCATTTATAAGAAAACTCTTTTTCTTCATTAAATGTGTTGGACCCAAAATTAATATTTAAAAGTTGTTGCTTTTGAATAATGAAATTTATTTTATAAAAAATAAAATTACCAAATTTAAGTGATTGATTACTTATTAGATATTTTTCTTACAAAATACAAATCAACAATGTCTACACACGAGTTCTATTATAAATAGTTGCTCTTATATTTTAGATATACGAAAAATTAACCTTACTTAATTATCTATAAAATTAACGTTTTAAAAATTAACCTAATTAAATCACATTAAATTAAATAACTCGATAAGTCTATGTAATAAAACTATATAATTATTAAACCAATTAAATAAATAATTACATCACTAAAAAAAAATTACACAATTATGTACAAATCTAAATAAATTTCAAATAAAATCTAATCCTAACTTAAACTGAATACCAAAATCACGGCAATGTCTAATAAATTGAATTTCAATAAAGAAAAGTTGTTCTAAACAAACTTCCATAAAATCTCCTTATATTTTAATTTTCTTTTTAAAAAATGTCAAAAAGGCATCCTTTTATAGAGAAAAAAACAGACATTTAACCCATCAAATTTTCAAAATGGCTAGTTTGTTAAAAATGTAACTTAACCATTAATCTTGTTTCAAAAATAAGACATTAAACCAACAAAACATTCAACTCAGGATTCAATTGATTCAGCCATGATCAAGTTGGATAAAATATAAATAAGTTCAACATAATAAAATGTTGAGAGAAAATGGAATACAAATAAGAAAAACACAAATTAATTCAGATCAACCAACCTACAGTACAACCGAAAACAAACCCAACTGTCAAGACAAATAATTTTCAAATCATTGGTCCAAATTTTAAAAATTAACTTGATTCTTCTAACAATTGAGACAGATTACTCACCCTACAGGAATATAAAGAAAATGTGAGATGCAAATAAAAATAAAATTAGTGTTGTTTGAATTATTCACACCATCTAACAAAAAAATGTTAGATCCTCATCTGCTTGTATAATGGGGCAACATACTCTTCTATCGACACAATTTCGGGGCTCAAAATACAAAATACGTTATCTACCCTCGCTTATTACAAAATTATTTGTAAAATTTATTTTAACTTGAATCAAAAATTGGTCAGGGATACAATCAACCAAACCCAAATGGGAAATACCAGGTGATCAAAATCTCATCCCCCCGCCTATAATATCACTTGAAAAACGGAATTGAGTACTTCATGTTCATGGAAGCCTTCTATTTACTTTACAACAACATTGTTTCTGGATTCTCAATGTAGCCTTTGAATGCTTTTAGCCATTCAGCACCAATAGCCCCTGAACAGAATAATAATAAAAAGCATATTGTTAGCATGTTTCATCGAGTGAATCACTGGTTTTGCTTATTAAAAATGAAGATATTGGACAACTTAGTCTCTTAAATTAAAGCAACAGAGTCAGATTAAGAATGATTACCATCTATTACACGATGATCACAGCTGAGGGTTACGGCGATGAAGGATGCAAATTTGAATTCTTCAGCACCTGAACCTGGAACGACTCTCCTCTCGGCTGCGCATGTAGAAGCAAAGCAGAGAGATGGTCATTATGATAACAAGCGTAAGCAGCTAGTAAATAAAAGGTAGGAAAAAATACACTAAATTTTTCTCACCAGATCCAACTGCAAGAATGCCTGATTGAGGAGGATTGACAATGGCACAGAACTGTTTGACTCCAAATGGTCCTCCCAAGTTAGACACTGTGAATGTACCTCCCTGCAATGTGTATCGACCCAATAATCATAAACTAGTACAAGACGTCATCTTTAGCAGATGAATAGGAATGAGCATAAAATTTCAATAACCTCATAATCTTGGGGTTTCAAGCTGTTTTCTTTAGCTTTTTTAGCCAATTGTTTGACCTCTTCGCCTATTTTAGAGAGGCCTTTCTTGTCTGCATCCTGCAAATATTATGAATACAAGGTTGAGTTGGAATCAGTAAAGGCTTTGTATGTCTTTCAACTGTTAGAAAGAGGTTCTCACTCACCCTGACGACCGGAACAAAGAGTCCGTGTTCAGTCTGCACGGCAACATTAATGTTCACGTTATGATACCTGCAGAAAACCATAATAGCAAATGTTATATTTAAGGTCATTCCCAATTTTTATGGCAACCTTTGAATTTAAAAATTGTTAACTTACTGGCGAATATAGTCATTTGTCCATGAACTGTTACACTGAGGAACTTTACGGAGAGCCAAAGCAGCAGCCTGAAATACAAAAAAAGACAAGCATCAAACTTAGTTTATATTGTGCACAATACTCTCTCCTGCACAAGACATATGGTTTAAGCTAAGGAATACTCATTTTAGCAACTTAAGAGAATTCTGTAGATGAATTGCAAATTTGAAACCTAACAGTTGAGAAACGATGATGTAACAGTATTAGGCTAAAACCAATTAATAACCACTAGCAAGTTAAAAACCTAGCTTTTCTATTGACTATGTGCACACAAACTAATGCACTGGTCTTTGAATTTGTTTAGCCGGAAATTCATGAAGTTCTATAACTTCAGTAGGTTTTAGAACTTTCTAAAAAAAATGGAAGATTTTTCAACTTATAGAGACTAAAAAGAAAGAAAGCAGAGGTCTGAGATATGATGCCCTTCTCTACTAAATTAAACACCTGATTACCAACCAAAACACGGGATAAAAGGAAGGCAACCTGCAACTTAAACAATATTTTGGTCAGAGAAAAACTGATACCTTGATTACAAGGTCATTTACTGATATGCGGGCACCGCCAGAGGCTTCCTGCAATGAATTGAGTTGGGATCGCAAACTGCAGATAGAGGGTTTGAATTATCAGAAATTATTTGTATCATCGGTAAAATATATTGACAATAATGGAGAAGCTCACCTCATGAGTTTGTCAACACATGTATCGACTGTTAGATAGTAATGAGGAATAGTTTGTTTTGATAGCAACAAACGTGAGGCCGTGATCTGTCAAATATAGTTAGTTAGAAAAAGCATCCCTTATGCATGCACAATACCAGATTTATTAAGATCAGGATATTATTACTTTAAAAAACATACTGAAAGAAAAAAAAAAGTCCCAGTAATATTGAGCAACACTATCAAGAAGCATACACAACTTTTGTTCACAAATTGAGAACATAAGGGGCATGGTCCTAAACATATAGTTAGTTTCAAGGAGAAAGCATCACCCATGCATTCCCAATACAAGATATATTAGGATCGGGAAATTACATAAAAATCATACAGTGAGAGAAAAAGTTTCTGGAATATTGAGTAAGACTATCAAGAAGCATGCACAATTTATGTTCATAAATTGATAACATGTGTGGCATGGTCCTAACAAATGGTCTTTGGTTCATGTGGGAAGTAAAGTATCATTGAAGATAAATTTCATAAACATAAAATTTAAAAGACTAGTTTGATAAACTACCTTTCTTATCTGAGAGACAGGAATGTCGGTATAATCCAATGCTACATCCGTTGCAGCCTTGGCCTTTGAGGGTGCTGAAACTTCTTTAACACCACTAGAAGCTGCATTAGATTAGATAGTAAAAAGGGTTATAATTTAATCAATACAGTTATTGAATTAACTAAGGATGAAAGTCATTACACAGGCACAACTAGATTAGATAGTAAAAAGGGTTATACAGTTAAAAGAATCAACTAAGCAAATGCACGGTATTTTATTACAGCGCATTATTAACTACAGCTCTGATCATTTGCTTTAGAAAGGGGTTAATAGTTGCTTCGAGGTTGGGAAATAGTCGGCTAACTCAGAAAACTGACGATTGTAAATTGAACTGAAAAGCAAGTTGTTCATGAGCCAAGACCAGATGAGAGCAAACGCTAATGACAAGTATGGGAGGAAAATGGAGTTCCAAGTGGGTGACTGGGTTTATCTCATGCTGCAACCTTACAAAATGAGGTTGCTAAATACAAAACACCCATAAGAAAATAAGTCTCCACTTTTTTGGGGCTCGTGAGGTACCAGATATAGTTGACCAGGTTAGATACAGGTAACAATTCCAAGAACACATCCAGTTTTTCATTTCTTTTTGTTGATAAAAGCCCTACACCAAAGTCAGCAGCGGCCCAACTTGCCCCAAATGCTATGCTATCAAATGAATGTGAATATGTAACAAGGAAAAGAAGGATAGCAGAGGATTACAGCCTCTGAATAAATTAGGACAGTTACACAATGTAACAGAATAGCTAACCAAATGTTAGTGGAGATGGTAAGTAGACGAGGAAATCAAAAGACGAGAAGGAAAGAGAAGAGACACTGAGTGCGGTCATAGTCGTGAAAGAGTTCTACTACCTACAGAGTAAAAATTTGGGGGATAAAAAAATCCAATTCAATTGCTTTTCTGATCCCGATTCTAATCAGAAAATATATCCTAGAACTAGCAAGAGATAGAGGAATAAATAGGGAAGCATGTGTTTCTACTATACTGAGCATATAATACAAACATACATATAGAAAATAAGAATTATACCCAAGTAATCGTCAATGTCACCCTTGACAATGAGCCCATCGGGCCCTGTTCCTTTAATGCTGGAGAGAGTCACCTACATACATGTGGTTATGTAATGTCATAAAAATGGCTTAATCGAGTTCTTGAACAAAAAGATCTTTAACCATGGTATTTAAGTATTAGTAACTGACATTTTTCTCTTCAGCCAACTTTCTAGCAAGGGGACTAGCAAATATCCGATCTCCAGATGAAGGTGGTGCACTAGGCTTGGAAGCCTTTGGCTCAGGTTCTCGTGCAGGCTCCTCTGCCACCTCTTTCTTTGGGGGAGGTGGGGCAGGTGTTTCTTTGGCAGGTGGGTCACTAGATTCAGATGCTGAAGGTTTGTAATCTTTAAACTTTGCAATGTCCTCTTCATCTTCAACAGTTATGGCAATTACCTATGAAAGAAATTCTTCCCATTACAAAAGATAGACTTTTCATAAGAGAATAGAGTTTAGAGTGTGAAGAAAAAAATAATTCTGGTAAATTCAAACTGTGGAACAACCGCATAAAATGCTCTTTTCAAAAGAAGATAAAAAATATAAAAAAAGTGGCGCGAGCTAGACAATATCAATACCTCGCCAACTTGAATTTCTTTTTCCCCCTCCTTACGTACTATTTTGGCCAGAAAACCATCCTCCATGCACTCCATTTCAACAGTAGCTTTATCCTTCATGTGAAAGTTGAAATACAATTCATACATCATTTCACACAAGAATCTAAATAGTGATATTTTATATGAAATGGTTATCTCTGCTACAAGAACCATACAGTTTCAACTTCACAGAGCACTTCACCAGGAGACACTTTATCCCCTTCTTTCTTCAACCATCTTGCAATGTTACCCTGCATATCATTGGGAATCAGTTAGTATAAACCATTACCCACAATATATGAAAATCTTGGGATTCACAAAAGTAGAAACCTCTGTCATTGTAGGTGAGAGAGAAGGCATTCCAATTTCCTGGTGTGGGGGGAGATCTGAAAAATATTCACCATTTTTGGTAATGAAATCATCAAGTACAAGATCGTTGATACTATTTATTTAATAAAGAAAAATGTGAGAGAGAAAAAATACGGACTATGGAAAAATACAAGGCATTCTTAACTATTGGAAAAATACAAGGCATTCTTAACTATTGGAAAAATACCATTTCTTTCTCCAAACAATTATATTTTTAGGTAACAACCAACCAACTACTTAACCTAACCTCCCCTGTAAGGGGCAGACGCAAGCTCCCAACAAGATTAATGATGCTGCAATATAAGATACAGCATGGAGTGAAAGGTCTCAAAATCATTCACGATTTAAAAGAAAATTTTTCAAGGGGTGTAAGACCATTCTTGTATCTCCACCAAAAAGCTTAAGGTTTTAGAGACATGGACTCCGGCCTGGTGTTAAAAAAACTATTACTGTGTTTTTAAGAGCTTGAATCTTCTACAATATTCTTTGTAAATAAGTTACATGTAGCACAAGGTATAACAGGTATGTGCATTACCCATGCTTCAAGCTCAGAGTTATAATGCAAGGGAGCACGTTAAAGATTTTAAGAAAATCACCTCTACTTAACAACTTAAGCATTTAGGAGAATAGTTCTGCACAGGTTATGGTGTGTATTAAGGAATACTAAACATAATGTCCAAAACAGCCCATTAAAAAAGCCTCAAAGCTCAAACCATGGTCAAGAACACTAGTCAGAAACTCATACTCTATTGCTCAGGCAGCTCAACATTTGCAGAGCAGACTCTCCATCCTATTAATAATTTATAGTAGCAATGAAGCTGACATAACAGGTTAAAAGAAGCAGTGGTATTCAGCCTAATAGTATTGAATGCACATTTTTATTTGGTTAAGTTTCTGAATTCTTTATGTGGTCTGAACTGCAGAAGAGAAGTTTCAGAACTACAGTGCTGTTAGATATAAATATGCATTCAAAGCACCATTTGGTCGAGAAGCCTCGCCCACATTGCAAATCCTAGATCTATAGATGGTGGTTCACTCAAAATCAAAACAACTAATACAAAACCAAAGAGTAACAACAAAACAACTCATGAAAATTTTATCCAGGGTAATTTAGATATGATCATGATATATCAAATGACAGAGGAAAAAATATGAACAGTGCCAAAAAAAAATAATGAACTGTACCTGCAGCTGATGAATAGCTTCTCCTTGACAGAACCTCTGAATTTCTTTTGAAATACAAGGGTGGGATGAAAATGAATAAGTTATAAGCAAACCCATATTAAAGCAACGCAAATATAGCGAAAATAAAAAAAAATTAACTATAAAACAACTTACTGTAAAACCTCTCCATTCAACCTCGTGTAACCCCTTTTCATGGTGGACATGTTTCTCTTCTGTACACCAAATGAAGGTTTCTATGAAAGAGAAAATACGGGTCAGCAGAGAACGTTAAATGCCGGGAATAGCTTGATTGGTATTGTCATATAAATGTAAAGAGCTCTCTACTCACAGTAAAGTTCGAAGCTGATTCAGAGACACGGTTTCTCGCTGAAGACTCATAATCTTGTATTCGGGTTTTCAACATATCTAAACAATAACCAACTAAAATTATAATGCTGAACAATCGATTCACTTCACACAGTTTAAGACAAATCTAGTTTTTTATCCCAACTAAAAATTAATTAATTTTGTATTTTTTTAAATATTATTATACTGTTTAATACAATAACAATCTAACCCAGAAGATGAAAATCGAATTTGAATCTAGTCACAGACGAAATTAAACAAAAAACAAAGCAAAAAAAAAAGTACCACGATTTTTGGTGATAGATAAGGGTTGAACGTCGCTGCAAAACCAACGAACCAAAACCGCACGATCATGGTGTAACAAGCTCGAAGCATTTCTTAACTGCAATCATATCGTATAATACATAGATTTAAATCAAAAAAATTGAAGGAAAAAAAAAGCATATTGTGAAGAGGAAAATCGACGAACCTTTTTGGAGTGATTGAGTAAATGAGAAGCCATTTTGAATTTGATTGACGGCGATGAGATTTGAGGGAGACGAAAAGGGGGCAAAGTTAGGGTTTGGTGGTGAGAGATCGGATCAAGTAGAAGATGAAAATGGCATGGCAGCGGCCACGGCAGCAAACCAACCCAGAATATTTATTTTCTTTCCTTTTTTTTTTAAATCGTTTTTACTACCTTCTTTTTTTCTTTACCTTATTGTTATTTTATCATAAGGTGTGGGTTGGACCGACTTTGACTTAACTCGTTATCCAACATTTTTAACTTTATCATCCCAACTCGTAATTTTAATGTAAAATGTTAGAATTAAATCAAAGAAACTCGATCATATACAAGTTAAATTTTTTGATTGGTATTTTATGTTAGACTAGAGCACCGTATTTAAAGGATGGTGAATAGATTTTCAAATAAAAATTATATTTTAAAAAGATTATTTAAATTTTATTTAAAAAATTATATTGAGCAGTAGATTTTTGACCTAGATCAATATAGTAATCTAAACGAATTTAATTATTGGAAACTCAGATATGCACGAGTGTAATATGGTGGGAGAATTGACTTGGGTGTTTTGCGTTTTAGCGCAATGTTGCAGATAGCAAGAGTCGTCACCGACTTTTCTTTTATCCAATAAAAGAAATGGTGAAAAGAACAAGAAAGACCTTTGAGATATTTTCTTGAGTTCGGGGGTAGGTTATGAAAATGGAAGGTGTTAGCACCATTTTTATCTGTAGTTATCTACGGACTCTTAGTTGCTTGCTAGATCACTTGAAAATGTTTTGTTTGAAAATGTGCTTTGTGGTGTAAGTTTGAAAATATTTTGAAAACGCCTTTGTTGCGGCAAACTTTGTAATGATTCACGTCTCTATAATAATTTATACAAAGTGTTGGTTTTGAAAATAGTTCAAAGAGATGTTTATTTTTGAAGATGTTTTTGAAAGTGTAAGTGTGAAAATGGTTTTAGTTTGTGAGCAAGCAACTACGAGCGTCCTACCTACTCAAAAGGTCTTTGTTCTTTTCCTCCTCTTTTAGATGTTGTTATCTTACCATTGATTGGTAAGAAGCCCCATCATTGGATGTGAAGGGACATGCGTGAGTCATCGTATAGTCATGAATGGCAATGTTGTGGGATATCTTAGCATTTCTCTTAAGGTATTAAGATCATTTGTAAGACAACATTCCAAGCGTCATCGAGGGACTATGATATTGTATTTTTGATTGTTTTTTGCTAAGATACCTCACATGCGCAACATGACATTTTTTAAGGCAACAAAATGGAGTTAAACCCTAAAGGTGCAAAGTGTGCAAGTGCATTGTATTTCATGCTTGGTTTAATCTTGAATTAGGATTGTCTACTTGTTGATTTTAAATCTTGTCATACACACCCTAATTACTAGTATTTTATATAAAAAGCGGTAAATTGCGGAAAATAAATGTCCTATGTTATTACATAATTTGGGGATGGGATATACAAATTTACAAATGGGGGGTGAAAAGCATAAAAGTCCTAATTATTACAACCATATTGAATATCAATGAAAGAAAATATAGAGAAAATATATTTAAAAAAAAACAAAAAACAGTGCAAAAGAGAGAGAAAAACAAATATTTCGATTCATGCAGTATGTCTAAAGCATGCACCCTTCGATTCACAGAGAAAAACAAATATTTTGATTCATGCAGCATGTTCGAAGCATGCACCCTTCGATTCAATACCTTGTTTCCTTCTGTTTGGGCCTGTAAAGCAGTATGTGTCGAAGCATGCATCCTTCGATTCACACACCCCTTTTTTCTTCTGTTTGGGTCTGTGAAGCAGTATGGATCGAAGCCTAAAGCTTTGTGTCGAAGTATGTTGTAAATCTTTCACTCCAACATTATTTTATGGTCTATACAGGTTAGTTCTTGAAGCTGGAATGTGTGTTTCGAACTTGAGTTATTGCCTTGAATGTTCTTAGGTTTGAAAGATAAGAACAGAGGTGTGGTGTTTCGTTGGTTCTGGGTTCGAAAGAAAAGAACAGAGGTGTTGTGTTTTTTTGGTTCTGGGTTTAAGAGTTTTCTAAGGTTTCAGCCTTAGTGTTCTCTCCTTTTTTTTTTCTCTTTTTTTCTTGTCAAAAAGCCTCCCTTTGTGTGTTGTAAAACAACTTATTTATAAAAGAGTCTTGCTGGAGTTTTGAGGGGGAAACAAATGAAATTTGAATAGTTTGGATATGTTCTTTTCATAGCTTTTGAGGTGCAACTCTTATATGCTAATTTGGTGCAAATATGGGACTGGTTTAGGAGCAGCATAACAGGACTATTTTGTAGCAGTTTTGGAGTGTTGTGGTAGCTTGGTGCAGGGTTGTTTCATAGCAATGCAGCAGACTGCTTTTTGACATGGTTTTAGGCTGTTATGTGGGCAGTACAACAAGCCTGGGCTTGGCAGCATATAGGACTTTGTTCAACAAGCATCTTGAATACTTCACCCTTTCATTTTGATCACATAGATCCACAAAATTTCGATCATACTTATCAACAGATAAAACAATATTGTTTCCAACAATTGTGTGTTCTTCAAATGGACCACCAATTGTATTTTCTTCTAATGGACCACCAATTGCATGTTTTTCGAATTCACTAATTGTATGTTCTTCGAATGGACCAATTGTATGTTCTTCGAATGGACCATCAATTGTATGTTCTTCGAATGGACCACCAATTGTATGTCCTTCGAATGGACCACCAATTGTATGTTCTTCAAATGGGCCACCAAATGTATGTTTTTATAATGGACCCCCAATTGTTTGTTCTTCGAATCCACCAATTGTATGTTCTTCAAATCCACCAAATGTATATTCTTCGAATGGACTACCAAATGTATATTCTTCGAATTCACCAATTGCATGTTCTTCGAATGGATCACATTCATTTGAATGTACCACTCGAAGCTTATGGATCGAAGCAAGTTTGCTCTTCTTCGATTTGTCAAAATCTTTTTTATCTGCTTTTCCCTTTCGACGATTTCCTTTTTGACCTGATGCTTGAAAGTCCAATATGATCCATGGAAACTATATGGGCCATTAAAAGTCCAATTGTACTTGTGCAAACTTGAACTTTTGAAAATCCTTATGAGAAATGTCTTGAAAAAAGAGAGGGCAAATTTTGGGGTACAATGGTTGTCCCTGTTCAATCTTCTTAAACCTGAAGAGTTAGATTGGCGAGTCTGTCATTTGTAGCTTAAAGGTAGAAGATGATTGAACACTAGAGTGCCCAGAAATTTACACTCGACCATGTGTTAGTTGATTGTGTAGGGAATGGGCTTAAAGTTGCCATTTGGAGAGATGATGGAGAGTTATCGAAGATGGGCTTATAGATGTCATCCAAAGGTGATTGTTGATAGAAATTAGACTAAGTCTAAGCTTGACTATAACTGGAAGAAGTATCAGAATAAATCTTTGATCGATTTAATTCTGAATGACATGTTGGAATGGACCTGTGTTAAGACGTGTTTGAAAATGTATTAGAAGGAATCTGTGTAAGACTGCTTCAGGATGAATCCGTGTGGGACTATATTTAGAAATTCATGAGAAGGAACTTGTGTGGGGCTGCTTCGTGATGAGTCCAGGTGAAACTTCATCTGGAAATGTATGAGAAGGAACCTGGGTAGGGCTGCTTCAGGATGAGTCTATGTGAAACTTCATCTGGAAATGTATGAGAAGGAACCTGGGTAGGGCTGCTTCATGATGAGTCCGGGTGAAACTTCATCTAGAAATGTATGAAAAGGAACCTGGGTATGTCTGCTTCAGGATTAGTCCGTGTGAAACTTCATCTGAAAATGTATGAGAAGTGTGATACGGTGGGAGAACTGACTTGGGTGTTTTGCATTTTATCGCAGATGTTGCGGTTAGCAAGAGTCGCCATCAACTTTTCTTTTATCCAAAAGGAAAGGTGAAAAAGCACAGGAAAGACCTTTGAGATTATTTCTTGAGTTCGGGGGGTAGATTATGAAAAGGGAAGGTATTAGCATCCTTTTCATCCATGGTTTTCCATGGTCTCTTAGTTACTTGCTAGATCACTTGCTTTTGTTTGAAATTGTGCTTTGTGTGGTTTTTTAAAAGTATTTGGTAAAGAGGCCATTGTTTAGGCAATCTTTGTAATGATTCTCGTTTGTAAGAATGTATACAAAGATGTTGATCTTTTGAAAATGTTTTCAAGTTTGTAAGATATTTTAAAAGTGTAGGTGTTTTTTTTTTAAAAAATAGCAAGGATGTTTGTTTTGAAATGGAGCAAGTAATTAGGAGCAATCTACCTACTCAAATGTCTTTCTTGTTCATTTTCTCTTCCTTTGAAATTGTTGTCTTACCATTGATTTAGTAAGCAACTCTATCTTTGGATGTTAATGGGACGGGCGTGGGTCATCGTATAGCCATGATTAGCAATGTTGCAAGGTATCTTAGCATTCTTTTTGAGGGACTAAGATCATTTATAAGGAAATTTTGAATAGCGTCATCGAGGGACTATGATCTTGTATTTGTTCGTTTTTGCTAAGATACCTTACATGCATAATATGGCTATTTTGTATAAGGAAACCAAGTGGATTTCACCCTAGGGGTGCTTGTGTGCAAGTGTGTCATTTTCATGCTTGTTTTTGTCTTGAATTTGGGTTTTCTATTTGATTGCTTTTATCTTCCCATACAAACCCTAATTACTAGCATGTTATGTAAAAGCGATAAATTGTGAAATTTAAAGTTACTACGCTATTACAACATTTGTGGGAGGGGGTATACAATTTATGAATGGGGATTGCAATAATATAAACCTAATTAATCTATTACAACCAAATTGAATATTGTCCAAATAATTGAAGAAATATATAAAGTACAAATGCAAATTGAAAGAAATGATTTTTGTGTTTGGATTTTTGGTATGAAAGAGGTTTTAATCTAAACCTAATTAGAGAAAAAATAATTAAATTAAATTAACTTAATTTAATTAAGAAAAGAAATTAATTAAGAAAAGAAATTAAT